CATACCTCGCGGAGCCCAGATGCAGCATGTCCAGATTAGATCTTACACCCGCCAGGAGTCCTGAAAAGCCACCCCGAATCGAGCCTAATCCTCCTGCAAGACTTTCTCCTTTCTTTAACCACACACAGACACACACACACACACACACACACAGCCACAGCCACAGATACATAAAGTTGGTCACACACGAGCACCAAGTGGAGACTTCAACATTACTTATTGTAGTTTTTTAGAGCCCTGTGCCTTGTGTCTTTAATCCCCATCCAGAGATCCTGTCAGCTGCTTACAGACCACGGGCCCCTTTTTCCCCTTTGTTATACAAATCAGAGCTGCAGATAATCATCTAATAAATCCTAGACTCCAAGATTTGAGTGGATTAAAATGAAACGGCATCATGAAACAACCTGGTTTTCATTGTGTAGTGTTCTCCAGAAATGTAAACATCTGAAATGAGTTTCACAACTCAGGGAACACAAGTTTTGGCTGTTAGCGTTTGGATTTTTTCTGTGGTGAGCGTTGGCATGTTGCTTTCAATGCAAATATAAAAGACTTTTCCTCTAACCAGTTTTTCTTCTTTAGCCTTTTCCAAATTCCCAAACTGGACTTGTCTGCCTTGGTGTTTCAGCACACCACTAATGTAATTTCAGCTTAAAGACTCATGAGTGGTCTTTAAAAGCCCACACCAGTCTCTAAAAAGCTTGTCGATTTCTCCATCCTTGTCTTTATTTCACCGCAGCCGCAGTCTGGATGTTGTCTTTGGCTCTGCATGTGATGTTGTGTGAAGCCACAAGGCCATTTGCAGAATTATCAGCAGGGGGACTCCAAGACCGAATTGCTCTGCATCAGGTCCAGCGGTAACGGTCCAGAGAGAGCGACAAAGACCTCCAAATATCACGCATACACCAATAAACCATCTGTCTGTTGGTTATTCCTAGTACCCGCTCTCCACGCCCGCCGGTAGAATTTCACAGGTGTCTCTGGCCGCGCTGGAGCTTATATTATCAAATGGTCCTACACTGGTATTATTTGTTATTGCTTCTTTTCTGGGATGGACAGCGTTGCTTACAATTTACACCTCCCTGTGATCTCATAAAGTTCTTCAAAGCATTTTCCTAGCTGGTGTTAAAGAGCTGTGGCCAGTTTATTGTGTGTTTGAACATGGCCATCTTCCCATTAACCTGTTGCTGCTCTTCTCTGTTCTGTTTCACAGTAAACTGAATCCATTTGGGTTTTTGCGCTTTTTGATAGCCAAACTAAGCAATTCGAGGGCGTCACTTTGGGATTTGTGTACGGCATTTTCCCCTATTGTCGGACATTTTAACAATTAATCAACTCCTCGTAAAAGTATTTCAACAGATTGAGGCCTCCCAGTTTACACCTGTTATTTCAAGTGTCTCGTATTCTGGAAAATCCATATGCAGTTTAATTCACTTTTGTAACATGTATGCATCTCAGTTGACCAGATCACATATCTGATCGCAGTCCCTCTTGGTTTTCCCCCACAACATGCAGATCAGGGGTCGGCCCTCCTCTCTGCCCTCCTCTAATTCAGAGTTTGGTGGTAAGCTGTTTGGGAGCGGCTAACAAGACCAGAAGAAGGACAGCTTCTGCACTTGAGCAGTTTAGGTCAAACAATTGACTGTTATTAATGAAAATAAATCAGATTTATAGAGTCCGAGCAAGTTTTAGCGCCTTCGCTGGCTCTGATTCACGCCCGTTCTCTCACCCCTACATATTGTTCAATTGTCATATCAGTCATGGATCACATAAACACTTCTTTATGGCCGTACATGTTGAAATAGCTGGAGCCGATTTCGCTTAATACAGGGTGAAAAGTTGCTTTGGCAACAACTACTTTTATTGTAACTTCAGCTGCCTTTATTTATCACAGAGTAAAGACTACATATGTGTCTTGGAGAGATGGATGCATTTCATTTTTTTGCATTGGGAGATGGGATAGCTATCTGATCTACCCAAGAAGTGGAAAGTGGTCATAGTTGTTGTAGATGTAAAAGCATCTGATCTTTCTTTAGTGTTCAGGTAATGCATATTGCCATGACACGTCTCTGCATAGTTTACAGGAATTCATTAATATGCCAGAACATGATTCCTCTGCTTACTTTACTCTGCAACACCTGTGACGACCTGAATTATCCCTAAAGCTGCATGAATTCTGCTCAGACATTAAAACACGACCCAGCTTCCCAACTTGTAAAACAAACAAAAACACAGCTAAATCCAGAACACGCACATAAATCCTTCCTTTTGCTCTGTGTTTGCACATCGAGCCGTAGCAAACATGTCCATCCTCAACTCTAATAACGTGTGACAGACCTGCAGGAGTGAGATGGATGGCCAGAGTCAAGCCTCAGATCTCCTCTCCAACACTATTTGCTGGCCTTCATGACGCCCTCAGACACTCTGCTCCATACACAAACACGTACACAGAGACACACACAAACCGTGAAATCACACGAGCGCCCACGGAGACCATCCCGGTCCAGTGGTCGACATTGTTGTGGTCTGGTTTGTTGTCACGACAACGCCATAATATTTCTGGGCGGCATGTCTAGTTTTTGTGTCTGCATGGTACCAAATCGACTTCCTAGCCAACAGGAATTCCACTCAGGGATGTTTTTTTTCTTATCATGTGTTTTAGATTTAGAGGAATTTAGAGACTATATATGATGTGGTCTGAAACCCTATAACAGTCTGAATGTATTAGTGGAAGTTAGAAGTATTGTTTGGCTGGAAATTGTACCTCTAATGGTAACGTGGGCTTGTAATGCTTTCGTATGAACGGAAACAACACATATTTTCACAAATTCACTCGCAGTAGATTGTATGGTTCCTATATATAACCATTCTTGTGAGACTTAATCCTTGTTTTGGCTTCCACAAGTCAAGTGTCTCAACCGGCTGTGTTTGGCGACTTCTATTTCTGCCGTCTTTTCCATACAGAATACCACACGCTATATCGAGCTGAGTGAATGTGGTAACAAGATGCTCATAACAAAACGCTGAGAGGGAACATTCCACGACTGGGTTCCTGATGTTGTTTTCATGGTCGCCGCTGTCTCGGATGGCAAATATTCCCTCAGAATCAAAATAGACCGGTATTTACGTTTTTGCCATTTAGCAGACGCTCTCAACCAGAGCGACTTTACAAACCACGCCGGCTGTTGACGGACGTGTATTAGTTGTTGGAGGTGAACCAGTAAAGCTACGATTATGGGACAATCTTGTGCGACTAACAACTCTCCCTGGAGACTAAAAGTGGAACCGTTGTCCTTAAGCAACATTGCATGGACTTATTCAACATTTAGTAACAGGAGATATCGCAGCACAGAGTCCTGATGTTGCTGTTGGAGCAGCACAGAAGCTCCAGAGAGCCCTGAGATGAAAATGCGATTAAATATTAAATTGATGTTTTGGCCCTGCTCGCTACCGGAGAGATTTACTAAAAGGTATCAGGGAGTCTATCCTGCTCTCGACTATCTCACCGCTCCTAAAATAAAGCCAGTTGCCAAGCCTCTGTGGAGTTTGTTTACCTCGAAGCATTAAGGAGGTATTCCCTTGTGGCATGGATGACCTCTTACGTAATACTACAAGGCGAGTGTGAAGGGACAATTGGTGGTTGGAGTTTAGATTTACATGTTCACTCAGGCTGTAATTCAGAGCCCTGAAGCAGCTGAGTGAGGCGGTAGGGGCCTCACTGTGATGACCAAGCTGAGTTTAGCCATTATGGGACAGTTTTACAGATTGAACATGTAATCTTTGACTAGATGTGTTCCCATTGTTCCTGTCTCCGCATCTGCACAGAGTCAGCATAGTTTGAGTTTGACGCATTCATTTGATGGATGAATTTGGTCTAAATGTCATTAGTTTAGTGTTCTTGAAGGCCTCACACACCCACACAGGGTTTTTCAGTCACTCTTAATAACTAGACCTCAAGTCAGGTTGAAGTTGGGTGGAGACCTTGACTGATGTCAAGTAGGTTTTAAGAGAGATTTTCCATTATAGTCGATGCTATTTCATATCATAATTGCAATAAAGTTTGTAATAAAGTAGAATTCCTGTAAATTTAGTTAAAAAATTTATTTAAATTTCTGTTTTTCTAGTGACTGAAATCAAGGTATTTCATTACATTGATATAAAAAATCCTATAAATCTGAAGCTAACGGCAACTATGCTCATTAGCCTTATATTATTATATCCTTCCCCATTACTAACACTGAAATTGGGTTCTCTATAGGCATGTGAGCAGGGTTTTAAGAGACTTTAAAAATGTCAGTGTTTCTTTAAATTTGAAAGAGACAGGCTCCTCTGTATACATGGTATAGCCCTATATACATCTGTTGCATTGCTTATCCTTTTGTAACAATGTTTATGTGTATGGTCCTTGTTGAGTAAACGCATAAATAAATACACAGGAGTTACTGTGTGTTTGTGCAGCCCCTGCTAGTCTCTCTGACCACCGAGTCTGCCACCCAGGCATTAGTTCTTTGTAGTTGCCAGATGAGCTGCAGGCATGCAGAGGTGGGTGGGTTGGCTGTACATTTTTGTGCCTTTATAGATTTCACAGAGCCCATATGCTTCCTTATCTGTATTAGCCCCACTTGACTCCCTCCACTGGCTGTGAAAACAATCCAAGTTATTCCAGTCTCCTGGCAGATCACAGCTTTGTGCCGCTCACACTTCCCGCTCTAAAAACTTTTCTGAATGTTCCTCATATTTAACGGACCTCTGACTTGTGTGCGCGCGTCTCCTCCTTTCATTTGTTCTTATGATTTATTGATAAGCCCCGACACGTGAGTCTGTTAGCGTGCGTGTGTTTAAAAGTTTTAAAGGTTGGCAGCGGAAGAGGTGAAGTAGAGAGAGAGAGAGAGAGAGAGAGAGATGGAGGAGACAGGAAAGAAGGAGAATTCACTTCAGGCTGCCTGGTGTGTCTATGTGAATGTGTGTGTGCATACTTCAGAGAGTGTTTTGTGTGGTGAGTGGGTGGGTGCGTCAGTCAGTCGGCCTGGGCTCTCTGCAGTGCACTCAGCCGCTGTGCTTCTCCTCTCGGCTCAGTGGAAACATCATGTGTCTGTGGGACGCCCAGAGGAACAGCCCCGTTTCTCCAGCCTGAGAGCAGAATAAGCAGTTAAAGACGGACTGAGGGAGGAAGAAGGTGCAACATGGACTCAACCAGAAGCTTATAGTAGGTTGTCTAGAAGAAAAAGGGAACCGCAAGACACAGAAACGAGCATTTTTGAGGATAGCTTTCTGCCATTTGGTCTTGACCACCTCAGACCTGGCTATGCCATGCTGGCCCAGAGGAACGGGCTACCTCCAGGCTGTAAGCCGGTTCCTCTGAAGGATCACCCAGACCTGCGGGATGTGGACGTGAACGCCGAAGGCTGCTGCTCCCTCTCTCCTTCCCCGTCATCGGGAGGTTGTCCCTGGGCTCGGCTGGCCGGGGTGGACGGCTGCCTGTCAGAGCCGTACTGTCTTTGGTTCCAGCTTTTGGCCAGAGCCTACTGGGGAGAGGTGGAACTGGGGCTCACCAGTCCCAATCGCAGCGTGTCCTGGGCTCGGCTCAGGGAAGCCTCCAGGAAGAACTGTGTACGATCTCGGGTAAGGACAGTTCTGTGAGAGAAAGATGGAGAGCATCCTTGTGAGTAGACATCTAGAGGAGGTCTGAGGCAAGTTGTGTTACACTTTTGAGGCATTTAGGAAAAGCCCGACCGGCTGAAATATGTGTTTAGGCGGTATCAGTGTCTAGCAGAGTGATATAGGTTTACATAGGAAGCATTTGGAGGGGAGGAGAGGTTAGGGGCGGCTACACTTTGTTGTGCTGTCTGAGGAATTTTGTGTGCGTCATGCTGCTCTCCAGTGGCAGGGTAGTCCTGTTTCACTGACCGATATCTTTTGTAATTTGAGTGGGTCTGAGCGTTTGGGTATTAGGTTTCGTTTATTGTTGTTGCCTTTGGTAGTCTCAGTTACACTTTGCTGTACGCTGTCAGAGGAGGATTTTGTTTATTGGTGCATATAAGGCGGTTTATTCTAACATAAAAATATCCCCAGGGTCATTACTTTTTTATACAGTATGGGCCGATGCTTGACAGAATGAAGTCATTGTTCACTGATGGACCGAAGTTGGGAATTCAAGGCACATTTTCCAACGGTATAGTGAATAAGGGTGACTAATGTTAAAGCCTGTGGTCAGAGAGGGAGAGACGTTTGGAAAGAAAAGGCGAGAGGGAGTGAAAGAGGTAGATCCATGAGGTCAGACAACGCAGGAGTGACTCACAGACATGAGAAAAAAGAAAAAGGAATGTTTGGAGAAAAGCTGAGTCCACAAGCAATGCCATTCAAATCCCTCATCTCATATACATAAAGAAGCAGGGACAGGCATGCAAATGCACTATCCCGCAGGCCACGGCGCCATATGGCAGCGCACAGATCAAACCCTCAGTGTGCACATAATGGTGACTGTTTTGATGAACAGATTGCATGCATAATTGAGTAGTATTTATCAGGTAATTGTGTAAAGCTTGTTTGGAGCAGATTTACAGTATTGTACCTTTTGAATATGACCAAGGCGTTGTAGGAATCTATAGCAGCTGTTTCCCTGCTGCTGCTTCTCTTGCTGTATAATTCAACATGTTATATATATATGTATAGGGAGAGAGGTGGAAAATGTGTGTGTGAGTGTGTAACACCTCAGCAATGGGGCATTTGAACCAAATGGCTTAACTATTGCATAACAGGACATTCAATTCTAAGCATCAAATCAAAACAAACAGCGGAGCTGAAGCGTAAGCTCTCCTCTCTCAGCTACATTGTGGACTGTGGCTCACGTCCAGCTCCACACCACTTGAGTATTGGTGGTGATTTCACCAGTCATACCATTAAGCCAACACCCATCCCACTCTCCAGAGGCCCCTACATCTGCTGCTCCCAGACAGGCGGAGGAGAAGTGTGGATAGAGAAGCCAGAGGGGCGATCGGGGAGAATGTCTTTGTTTTGGATCCACACCTAAGATGTATTTTGGTAGGAGAAGAGCCCGTGGAGAGATCTGGGTTGAGGCTGAAACTCTTGGCAGGCTCTCGTAGCCCGGAGTCACTATGGTAGTGTTAGCAATAACCACTAACGCACGCCCTGTGGTGCAGTGGTTCAGCTCCATCATTACTTTGATGATGGATGTGACAGAAGTCTCACTGCTCAGACAGCTCACAGCAGCAGGAGAGGTCAGCGTTTCTCAGTGACGGCGCACTCATTGTGATTCAGAGTTATAGATTATTTCCCTCTGTATGTTTCATGATAAATCTGGGTTGAAAAGTTCTTAAAAAGGCTTTGGAAGGAAAACATCCAACAACAGTAAATTCAAAATGGAGCTCAAGTCTTGGATAATGTATTCTGAGAGCTGTATTCTTTTCTTGTAAGTTTGGACTATTGCAACACTTGACATTTTTTACTTTAAAGGTCAAAAAATACAAATTCTGAAAGAAAATGATGCTTGTTTGTCCTGTAGGGCTGCAGCTATCGATTATTTTCATTATCACTGTATCTGCCTGTTGTTTTCTTAATGAATTCACTCATCACTTGGTCTCTAAAATGTCACAAAATAATAAAAATAATGACTGATCACAGTCTTTAGAGCCCATTGTGACATTCACCTTGATTAATTCACCAAACCAACAAGTCAAATACATTCAGGTTACAATCATTTAAGCAGGTTCTTGCCATTTCTGCTTGCAAAATGAATTAAATAGTTGCTGGTAATTGAATTAATACTGAAATTGATGATTGCATCATACTATGTAGCCTTTCATCACAATGCACTCTATACAGTTTGATCTAATATGTGACCACACACTCCCTCTGCATGTGTGTGTGTGTATTTCTGTGTTTTTCTTTGGTCTCGTTGTATCATCTTCAGGAAAAGAGAGTCGTGAACGTACACTAGAGTGATGTAAACACTTTCTTCTCATGAACAGCTTTTTGTTGTAGAACATTTAATAAATCTGCGTTTTTGCTGCTGATGTGGAGCATGTGTTGTGTTGTGTAGGCATAAACGTAATGTTACGCAAGCTGCCAGCATTTAAGGCTTGTTTTTTATCCTGTGTTAGTCACAGTAGGAATGTAGAAGATAAGTCTGTCATCATGCAAACCTGCCAAATAGCCCTGCAAAGCCCCAAATGTGCAATAACTAAAGCCATATGTATGGTTGTGTGGAGCTCTGGGCACTACAAATGTGGCTTAAGTGACAACCCTGATTATGTTGACAGATAGTGTGATCACTGACATTACCCACAAGTTAGGAACCAAATTATTTGACAGGATTTTTGGCCTCTGTCACCAACATTTCAACAATTTTCATGTGAGGATAATGCAGGTGTGCTGAGTGAAATGGTTTTTTCTTCTGTATTTGCTGACAAGCTATATATATATATACTGTACACATTCAAAAACACATTGTAAGTTTAAGTCTTAACCAACAGCTTCTAGCGAATGTCATATTTCTCACTGTTTCGACAGAGTACAGCAGCAGAGTAGATCAGTTTGTTGGTATTTGAGACCATTTTGGGGAGTTGTTTTTTTTGTTTAATTGTGTTAAGAATCCGTGAATATTTTGAACTCTGTGACACTTGATGTATGTGAACTAAAAGTATATATTGAGTCCAGGAAAGTCCAGAAAATACCACGGTTAATCAGTGGAATAATCCCATGATGAACTAATGATGCAGTGGTGGAAATAGTTTTTTTTTTTTTTTTTGGAAATGCAAGTTAAGATATATGTTGTATGTTTGTGTGGTTTCACAAAAGGTAATTACTTATTACTGACTTATTCTTACATTCTCGACATTTAACTTTTAAATCGTCCACTGCCATAGCGTCTGTGATGACCGACAGCACAAAGTTTGCAGGTCAAACATGGTCACGTTTCCAAAAACTGCTGCACAACCATTATGTTATCATTCATGATGCAGTATTACTTAACACAAAAACACCCTACAACCACAACCCTACAATACACCCTCTTATTTACTCTCTCTTCTTATTCCCAAAAGCATAAACCTTGACAAAATAACACCTTATTATTCAGTAGAAACAACATAACCTAGCCTGATAACTGTGACGAATCACCAACAGGGTATTTTCTTGTGTTTTTTTTAGATCATATTGGTTACTAAGATCAATGCTTAGCCATGAGCTGTTTCATCTGTGAAAACACACTTTTCTTTGTTTTAGCAAAAACCACTTTTCTTTACACAATTACCAAGGGTGAGGTGAATGGAGTGACTGTACTTTTTTGTGGCTGTGAGGTTGTTCTCAGCAGTGAACACATGGAAATTTACTGTCAGTGCGTTATTATTTTCACAACCACATTTGATTTCTTTGTTGTGGGGCAGTGCCTCATCTACAGCAGTGGTTCCCAACCTGGGTTGTGAAGACTGCCCAAGATAGAGGTATAGGGTGATGAGCATTTAAGGGGAAAGAAAGAGAAAAATACTTTTGTTAACACAAGATTATGTTGATTTTTTTCTGACTTTTATCATTTTCTGTCCACACTGAGGCTGTAACCTGTGATGAGGGGTTATTCATAGGCATCGCTTTAAGCAAAAACTGTCAAGAAAAAAACATTGAGTGCCGCTGATTTTATGTTTTCCCCACCAGTTTTGCATGGTTAAGAGTAAGATGAGGAGATTTATGCCACCCTCATGTATGTATGCTAAATGTGAAGCTATAGCCACAGCCGGTTAGCTTGGCTTAGCATAAAGACTGGAAACAGTGGAAAACAGCTAACCTGGTTCTATCTGCCTATTAGCACGTCTAAAGGTCACTAACTAACAAGTTATATCTTATTTATTTAATCTGTACAAAACTAAAGTGTACAAAAAGAAGAATCCATTTCCCTTGTTTTTGTGCTAAGCTACGCTAACTGTCTCCTTGTAGCCAGTAGCTTGTATTAACTTATCGATGTAAGAGTGGTATCAATCTTCTCATCTAACCCTCAACAAGAAAGCAAATAAGCGTATTTTCACACTGTATGTTCTGGAGATTAATTTTGACATTTTTGCTTCTTTGTCCTCCTTTCAGGCCAAGCAGAAGGATGGGCGCGATCAGAGCGAGGCGTCGGCCATGGCTTCTCCCGGGGCCGAGGAGGAGCCGTTTTCCTGGCCGGGGCCGAAGACGCTTCACCTGCGCCGAACCTCCCAGGGCTTCGGCTTCACACTGCGACACTTCATCGTCTACCCGCCTGAATCTGCCGTCCACAACTCTCTGAAGGTAACAGGACACCGTCTTTTAACCCCCTGACGACGCTAGGACGTAAATATAAGAAAACAAAACAAGCTTCATACCATCTAATGCAATTTAGAGTTGAATCATTTTTCAAATAAGCAAGAAATTCTGACAGTCGGGGAGAGTAAATACACTGACGTTTCCAAAGTAAATAAACTTTTGTTGAATCAAGTGATGTAAGCCTCAGGCCAGCAGCAGGACCTGACTTAATTTAAGACACTGTCATGAAAATCGTTGCTAAAAGAGACATTATATTAGAAACAGATGAAATGAGCCTAGACCACAGGCAGCTTTTTCAGCTGTTTAAGGAAATAAAATGGTTGATTTTGATATATAGTTTAGGGAGAAATGGATTTTTAGGAGTGAAATTACCGAATAGCTGATCCATGCCTCTCAAGCAACTGTACTATAATCAGTGGCGCATACTCTTCAAATGGACTCTAGGATGCAACCCAACAACATTATAGTAAGTGTAATAAGTGTAAGAAGGTGTAAGAAAAATGTGACTACAACTTGTGCTTTGGAATTTTAACTGAATCAAGGCCTTGTCACTTTGGTTATTTTGCACCCTGTGCTAACTCTGACCTCCCTGTCGAGGGAGCGGAAATTATAACTACTGGTCAGTGTTGCAGATTGTTATCATAAAATGTGACTTTATTAAGCTTTTTAGTATCTGCAGTGATTAGAAAACATCTGATTTGTGTGACATGAAGGGAAAACATTATCGGAATTATGACTTTCAGCTGCTTTTTGAACACGGCCCCAAACTAACACCACAGCATTTAGTGCTGTTGGGACATTGGAGGTGTGTCCAAGACAGTTCATACAACATACAGATTGCATACAGTATGTAGTTATTATCTGTTTTTGCTGTTTTGAGCTCTTCCTAAAGGTGTCACCTCCATCGACCACTTGTAATTCATTCCAGCTGTAAGAAGATCCTCAATTTCGCAACAGAGTGGAAGTGTTTTTCCCCATTCCATATTCCCATTTCAAATTTTTCTTTGAATTATATCGTCAGTGTTAGCTAACATGAGAGGGATCAAGGGATCCCCCTTGAATCTCCCAAAATAATGTAACGACCATGTTGGTTTATGTTATGGCCACCAGTTTTGTCAGTTGGTAGTCAAATACTGAAAAATAGCCCAAAAGTTGTTCAAAATGCATCATTGTTGCAGTTGGGAATAAAACACGGCACCACAGCTGCTGAATAAATCCAAAATTGACCCAGAATTAAAAAGTGAATTGATTTAAGCTGCAGGTTGTGTTGTTATTGTTCTCAACACCATTCATTTTAGCTTCTGCCTGCTGTTAGCGACGCAAGTAAACTAATTTTAAGCCTAGTGATTGGACATTTTTACAGAAATGCTCCAACTCTGAGTCATGTAACCTTGTCTATGGGAAAATGAATGAGACTTTTACTTCCAGAACCAGAGGCGCCTTAAATAGCTTCTCCCACTTCAGATTCTAGTAGAGCTGCAACGATTAGGTGATTAATCGATTAGTACATAGACAGAATATTAACCTGCACTTATTTTTATAATTGATTCAAGCAAAAAAGCTGAGTTGTGAGAATTTGCTGCTTTTCTTCGTCTTCTGTAATAATATCTTTGGGTTTTTAAACTGATGGTCAGAAAAAACTAACATTTTAAGATGTCACATTGGGCTTTGGGAAAATGTGATTGTGAGAATAGAAAGATAGATAGATATACTTTATTGATCCCAAGCTGGGAAATTACAGTTGATTCATTGTGAAATTAGTCAGCAGTTAAATTAATGAAAGTAAATTAGTTGCAGCCAGAATGATTCTGGATAGTAGTGTCCATCATCAGCAAATTAAAAAGTCAAGGAGATTTAGTTTGTATACTGAACTCTTTTATACTTTATTTTGTAACTTCAACAGTGTGAACATACTACATAACCTGCTAGAATGATTGTGTAGTATGAAACAGGGATCGGCTTAGGTTATTTAAACGTTATCTGTTGTAGACGCAGCATAAGTGCTTGGAAATATAATAAATTTTTATCTTTTCAAGATCTTATTGAATTAGTTTAATTGTTGAGTTAGCATCACTGGCCATCACTGACACCAGTCTGAGGAGCAGTAATGTTGCAGTTGAACTTTTATATTGATATGCACATGTAGTGTCAGCAATGCAGCAAGAGCCTCTTTGAGTTGTATCATCCAACCTGGGAAGTGTGCCAGCCGTCCTCTGGATAACATCAGTACCAATCTGCCCTTTGGTATTAATCCTGACGTTACAGCCCTTCCAGTTCCTAATGGGCACAGACTAAAGGGCTTTGGGTAAATACGACAGGGCTTCTTTAATGGGAAAATGTGCTGGTGTTTTGAGTCAGCTTTCTCAAAGCTTATCATGGCCTCCTGACTATTAGTTTTTGTAAGTGATAATTCAGGATAAGTTGGGTTTACGTTTCTCTGAAGTGTATTTTGACAACCTCTTCAGTTTGCACAGAAGGATTTCCTACAAAGTTAGCATAGTGCTGTCTGTTTATAGCTTTTGGCTTTGTGTCTGCATGTTGAAAGAGAAACTGTGGCACAACAGTTAGGATTTTCAGACATTTGTGTAACCAAAAAGATTCTCCCAGAGGCCTCCTTAGGTGTCCCGATGTTGTTTCGTTCACTTGCAAGTCCAACCTGGACCACCATGTGATCTTGAGGACTTAAGGATATAGGCTATATGAAGGTTGTGTGGACTTGAATTGATCTGACGTTTGTCCTCTTAAAAGCTGTAAATCTTGAGCCTAGTGGTGTAAGACGCATACTGTGCACAATTAAGGCTGTAAATTCATCTTAAAACACCAGCAACTCCTGACAAAGCAGAATTCAGCCTTTAGTCTCCTCTGTAAGGAGTTGGCATTATTCTCATTTATTCATGTAATTAATTCTGTGACACTGATTTATAGATTGACACAACTAAAACAAGCTGTTGCTCGTCTGGCTTTCGGCTGACTCTCTGGAGTCTCCTGTGGCCTTCTTATCGTAAGTCATGATTCTGGGAAATATTCAAACTGAGACCTTCAATTTTAATCTGTCAGGTCACACTCACTGTACACTCCTACCAGTTCTCCCATTACGTAACCCTAACCAACAAGACGGAGGGTTAAAAAAAATCCTCATCCTTGTACATTCATCACATTTCATTGTAATTACTTTTAGGGTCTTGGATTGGAGCTCTTGATTAATCGCAGTTTGAGGATATTGGGGTTAGCTTGAAGAGGGTCAGACCGTCTTAAGGAAAGCCTTGGGAGAGCAGGGAGTCTTAAAGGATACATGGAGAACATATGTGTCACTGAGGAGAGGTGGATTAAAGCAGGAGTGTATGGATTTTAACCAACGCTCGGAGGGAAATGAAGGTT